GACAAGGATGATGGAGACTGGAAAGGCCACTTCTGGCTTATCAGCCATCATTAGTCAACCATACCCAACCCCTAGGCGGTTCATCCCCTGAGACCTGGTAACAGTCTAGTTTCGGTCTCACTATGCTTGCTGCATACTTATTTCGTAGTAGTAAGCATGTTTCCTCACAACAAAGGTAAGACACAGTCCAGCTACATAACCTCTACCACACGAAAATTTCTTAGCGTCCTGCAGTCACTTTTAGTTTTATAAGTTTCAAGGAAAGGCGTTCCTTATGAAAATGAGGAAACTTTATGGAGTAGATATTCGACCCTGGATCCCGAGGTCTTCGTCAGACTTGAGAAAATGTGCAACGAAAAAGTAACATTTCAAAAGTACCCGTACAGTCATCTAGCCGTATAGTGTGGCCGCTAATTAGCAGCTGCGATTGACTTTACTCGTTGTTGGACAAAATTACTAGACGCCATAGCGTAATGGCTAACTGGCGAATGTAATTTGCATCGGTTGGGGGTTCCAACACTCTTGAAGGGTTACTTTTTCGTTGCACAGCTTCTCAAGTCTGCCAACGACCTGGCCATTCGGGGTCGAGAATTTAATCAATGAAGTTTCTCTACTTTCCTAAAGAACGCTTTTCCTTGAAATTCCCTTGCCTGGCATGCCTGTCTTTCACTTTACGTGTAAGTTTTATAAGTTTTAACTTAGTTTTAGTTTCCTTTAGCGTTTAGTATAGTTCAGTTTTTCGTTGTAATTTATTTTAGTTTCGAGTTTAGTTTATTTTTAGTTTTTCATTTAGTTCTTTTAGTTTTACTTTATTTAAGTTTAGCTCTTTGCACAGTCCTGAATTTTGCGCGGTACTGCAATTTGTGCAGTTCTTGTAAACCTATTAGTTGTGTTTTCATTTTAATTATTGTGCGCGATTTGTTGCCAAACATTAGGTTTTGTAAACGTTTTCTACTTTTTAAACTAATTTTAGAAGGATGGGTTTGGCAGATTTGAATAAGTTAATTGGCTCAGTTGGGAAAAATTGGTAGCCTCGGTTAGTCGGTATGCTACGGCATACCTTTGACAATTAACAGACTCCCCCTCATCAAGGATGATTGCACTCTGGTGCGTTGATAGCCTGGTGACCGGCATGGGGGTCTTCGTGCAGAGATTTCATCACCCGTGTTGGTTGTCCGCATGATGACTTCTCGGCCAGCTGGCCCACGGGCACTGACCTTGGAAAATGTGTTCGCTTGCGCGTTTTCCAAATGGTCGATTGCTTCGGCTAAACTGAATCTTAATAGGGACCATGGATTAGCGCAGTCAGTGCACTTGTTTCTACACTGGGGCCTCTAAACCATGACTCATCCAACTCGCAGCTCACGCGCTTGTCACCTTTCGCGAGATTTTCGACTTCACTGTACTCGAAGGTGTTGCCGGGTGTGATCATCAAATGCGCGTGCGTATGAATTAACGAGATCTGATGCTGTTCCCAGAACGTGAGTTCCAGCTGGAATGTAAAACACCGGGCGAATAAAGTTCTCGTCCCCTCGATCGCGTCTACTTCTTCACAATTCGACTTCTTTCAGCCTAATAAGGTACTTTTGGTTAAAAGTAGCAAAGGGTGTGTTAATACAATTGCATGAGCGTTTGCTTCCGTAAAAAGACAACTTCCACATAAGAATGCCAACTCCACTCTACTTTTACGAACCTTGGTGACAGGCCACAGTCACGACACAATTTATCGGCGCGGTTGAATTTTTTTAGCGAAATCGGAGGCTGATGGAACCGCACAGGCGACATTGACACTCGAACCATCATGTAAATATTGACTGAGGGCTGTACTGAGGTCTCTCGCTCTCCACTCGCTGAAGATGAGTAGACGATATCGTTCATTGAAACCTCGGCTATTGAAGGCCTTCCTTTCTTTTAATATTCAACTTTTGAATAGGTAATAATAATATCTGACACAATTTTGAGTGCGTGTCGACAGGAAAGCCTGTGTCGAAAAAAGTGGCCGCTAATTTAAAATACACCTCAAATACCACTTACTTTCTTTACTTATGAAATATTTATGTTCGAACACAGTATTGAGAATGCCTCCATTCTCACGATGCGTCATCACGCAGAAATGCACCTGCATGAGAGCGTGCACCTGGACCGCGACTATCGGCCTCGTTAAGTCTGATTGGTACATGTATCCGATCAATAAATGTGAATAACATTTTTGTAAGAATGCCTTGCTGTTTGTGAGAACAGCTCCACACATGGTCGATTGCCTTCTCTCCCCCCTCCGTGCTGGTTTTGGGAGCAACATTCGGGCAAAACGCAGTTCATTTTAATTGAAGGCGTGTAAATTACAGAGGTTTGTCGTGGCAGAAACCTTGCACGCTTAGAAGACACTTGGAAAGAGAAAATTGAGCGGCGTTCCCCAAAACCGCTTGTTAAATTGCTATCGTCTCTAAAATAAAGGCTAAGTTCTTTATCAACAGTTCGGAATCTGTGTTTTAGGGGTTCTTGAGGGTTGGCCTTGACGTGGAAAACAGCTCACCTGCAACGGAGGCAAATTTATTAAAACGTACGAATCAGCTTCAGCGGACATCTCTGAACTATATGAACTCATTATGGCAACTTCGTCTTCCATGCCCATAATGGCCACACATTTTCGTCCTTACATACGAGTTTCTTTCTAGCCACCTGCAGAAATTTCGCTCCGTAAAAAGAGACTACTTTAAAACGTAAACTTCCCCATTGCTTTTCGTTGCGTTTGTAATGACAAAATCCATATAACAGAAAACAAAAACAAATATACATATTTTGTCATGCAATTTTCTGCGTCTTCTTTAGATGGTTCAACTGAATACATGGTTTTTTTTTCATTTTTAAAAAGAAGGTCCTATATAGGAGATTTGTTAAGACCGTGAATTGTTCAAAGATACAGGACCGTATCTGTGAAAGCATTCTTGTTGCTAATGAAGTATAAAAACATTTGTTAGTCCTATACGACTTCTGCTTAATCTCGTTAACTCATGCGTGACTATTTTCACACGGAAAATGCATAGCTTGAGGTTTGGAGAAGTTGAACTCATGTATAACAGCAGGCCGAGGTTCAAAATTAATCGGGAGATGAGGAAAAATTTTCTTCAAATAAAATGCTACATTTTTTCATTTCATTTGTTAAAAATAAGTACAAAAAGAAAGGTCTTTGTTCATGCTTGCTATACACCTTATTTGAATTTCTTGGGACAGTGAGAATAAATGAGGAGCTTATGTAGTTATATAGCTAGTTTTTATTGAACGTAAATTTCAGAGGTGACCACAAAAAAGCAACTCCAAAGGCTAGCTCCATCTCGTGAGGGGATATCTGACGTACATTCCTTATGATAATCGAGCTTGCAAACTTATTGAATAAATATTTCTACTCAAGAACAAACTCTATGAGTTTGGTTAAAATCTCTTGAGATACTTATCTTCTCTATGTTGCGAGTAGTTCGGCAAAATGTTTTATTTACGACTAGTTTTAAACAGATTTAATTTAATTTCATGGAAAGGCATCCTTTGGGAAATAGGTAGTTTATTGCGTA